GATAAAATAAATGATTCCCATGCATCATCATCATGCATGTATAACTGTCGGAGACCCCCATCTCTATCATCCTCTCGATCACCCCCCCCGATCATCGTCTTCGTCAACCCACCGCCTACTGGCTATATTACCTCGAAGTGCTGCAATCTCATTCGACAAATCTTGGACCTTCTTACCAACTGTCGTCCCAGATCGTCAACCCTCTCTATCATCTCTCGATGTAGTCCGTCGACCTGCTCCGCTATAAATTCGCTAAGACGGGCATACAAATCATCAAAATAGTACCCCTATCTATGTGCGGGAGATCCACGGGAAAGGTCTCTAGACAGAAGAGATAGAGGAGATGCCCTCGACGGAGGTGATCGTCGATCAACTGGATCACGCTCCTACACAAGCAACAACATTACAAATTATTAACTTCATCCGTAATTGCTAGCTCATAAAAAATGATAATCAATAGATTTTATTCAATTCGCTCACCCTATCTCGGTCGTGGATCAAATCGGACATTGGTATTCTTGGGTGTGCGAAATGTATAATTCACGCACTAGACCCTGAGCCTTCTCCTCCATCGACGGCGTCAACTCAGTTATGACTTCAAGCTGACATGTTGACATTTGAACTAGTTAACGATCATGTAATCAGATGTTAAGTCATACACAATATAAATTACAAATGCATAATACACATTTGAGGGTCGTCGAGGATAGCCGATAACTGTCTCCCAGTGGGACACCCATCCGATTGAGATGCTCTCCAATGGTACATCTGAGGGCAGTGTGTCTCTCCTCGTCTCGCAAAGTGGGCACCCAATAGGGGACGGTCTCATACGCCTAGATCTGCAACATATACAATTATTATATATAAATTGACTAGGAAGATAATTTTAACATTTATTATGTTAACCATTTACCTGCACCGCCAGGGACAATATATAGGTGTTGTACTTACGCATGGCTCCCCTCGGCTTCGAGTGCGATATGGTGAAGACGTGTATGGTGTCCTCGAAATATCTCCGACCCCATGGATAGTAGTTGAAATGATCGATGTCGTCAACGATTTTCAGATGGAAGAGGTCGATCGCAGTCTTCTTGTGGTGACACCGCACCATGCTCTCAAGGATGTAGATCAGACCTAACTTCAGTCTGTTTAACATCTGATCACACCTCCTAATTGCGTCGAACAGCTGTGTAAGAAGCACATTTCCCTATCCCTCGAAGTAAGCGTCATGAAGCCTATTTCTTCTCTTAGTTCCATCATCAGCTGCTTCATCGCCTGTAATCTTTAATCCTGTGATTAGAGCAAACTCAAACGAAAAAAAAACTAGCGACTTTACCCCCGACTGCGAAGTGGAGGACATCGCTGTCGATTGGACTCAGCAATCGACATAGAAGTGCATCAATAATCTGACCCAAGTACTGCAAATTTCTCAACGGGTACAAGGGCCACAGGAAGGATTGACGCAATATATCAGCATGCTAATCATCAAGCGGCTCTAACACAACAGTGAATCTATCAAAGCTACTATTCCACGTAATTTTGCCTGACATCTGTCTCAACTCTGCGTCAAAATGATAATCCATCCTGTAAAAATTCAAAATGTTATAACATTGTACATGTGATAATAGAATAAAACATAATAATAGAAAATTTAGCGAACGAAATTATAACTACAATACGCAAGACGCAGATTCATAATAATTAAAATCATCAGTAATGTAAATTTTTGTATCCTATTATCAATAATGTCAATTTTTCCCAATTATCAATATTTTTTTAATCAATTGAAGTTCAAAAAAATATTTAAATTTGATGAACGAAAAGAATATTATTTATCAAAAACTAATAATAAAAATAAATATTAAATTTCAAATTAAATTTTAAACAATTATTTCAAATTACAATTAAAAAATTAATTAAATTTGATGAACGAAAAGAATATCATCCAAAACTATTAATAAAATTAAAACTAAAAAATTTATTTAAATTTCAAATTAAATTTTCAATAATTATTTCAAATTACAATTAAAAAATTATTTAAATTTCATGAACGAAAAGAATATCATCCAAAACTATTAATAAAATTAAGACTAAAAAGTTTATTTAAATTCAACGACTAAATAATATTATTTATCAAAAACTAATAATAAAAATAAATTTTAAATTTCAAATTAAATTTCCAACAATTATTTCAAATTACAATTAAAAAATTATTTAAATTTGATGAACGAAAAGAATATCATCCAAAACTATTAATAAAATTAAAACTAAAAAATTTATTTAAATTCGATGATTAAATAAATTATTATTTATCAAAAACTAATAATAAAAATAAATATTAAATTTCAAATTAAATTTTCAACAATTATTTCAGATTACAATTAAAAAATTAATTAAATCTGACGAACGAAAAGAATATCATCCAAAACTATTAATAAAATTAAAACTAAAAAATTTATTTAAATTCGACGACTAAATAAATTATTATTTATCAAAAACTCATAATAAAAATAAATATTAAATTTCAAATTATATTTCCAACAATTATTTCAAATTACAATTAAAAAATTAATTCAATCCGATGAACGAAAAGAATATCATCCAAAACTATAAATAAAATTAAAAGTAAAAAATTTATTTAAATTCGAAGACTAAATAAATTATTATTTATCAAAAACTAATAATAAAAATAAGTATTAAATTTAAGTTCACAATTAAAATAATTATTTCAATTCGATGAACGAAATAATTATTATTTATCAAAAATGAGGAAATACAAATAAATATTAAAACAAAAATTAAATGTAAAAATTTTATTTAAATTCGACAAATAAATAATTTATTATTTATTAAAAACTAATAATAAAAATTGTTTCAAATTAAATTATTAAATATATGTAAAAAAAATTGGGGTGAAAAAAAAAAGAGTGGGCCGACAGTGGGGCTGACAGTCAGCCCACTAAGCTAGGCCGGCTGCCCAGTTGGGTTAACCCGACTGTTGACAGTCGGATTTCAAAGAAAAAAGCAGCCGGCAATCTCCTTTTCTCGCCGAAAAATCTCCATTTTCGACGAGAAAAGCTTCCAAATTTACAAAACCAACCACTAAAACACTATCTAAACCCTATATTACCTATATAAATAACAATATATTGAAAAAAAACTCCCACAAATGAATCATTCAAACCTTTTATTAATATCTAAACATTAATCCAAGCAAATATTCAATATAATAAAGGTTACCTTAGCAAGAAGTAGTTCGTCGGCGATGAACTAGCAAGTTCTCATACCGACTGGAAAATCGACCGTTTTTTTCTTCTGTTTTGTGCGACTGTTCAACAAATGGAAAGATGATAGCCGAAGGGTATTTTGGGATTTTGAACTTTAAATTCAATTTTCTTTTTTTTTAAAATTAAAAAGACTGTCAAATGTGATTTTGGACACTTGGGTTATCTGGTCATTTCTAACAATTTCCTCGTGTTAATAGGAAGCTGTCCTTGAATGGAAAGAGAAAGGGAAGAGGTGAGTAAAAGTAGAAGGGAAAGGGTAAGGGAAAGGGAAAGGGAAAGGTAAAGGTAAGGTTGTTTTATAGGAATTGGAGATATTTATGAACGAACAATTGAGAACTAAACAATAGTGGGATTGGTTAGATGTGAAATCGAGGGCAAAAAAATGAACAGTTATATCAGGGCAAAATGAGAAATGATTAATATATCTTTAATTACGAACTAAATTGAAAAATGAAATAAAAAGACTGTGGAGTGGGTTCGGAAAATTTGAGGGAAAGGCCATATTTCACGATTTCCCTCTTTGTTGGCTGCATGACTCGTTGTGATGAGAAATTTTGCAATCCTCAACTAATCGAGAGAAGGCGTGATTGATCTTGAAATGATTCAACAAAGATATTTTAAAAATTCAAAAGAAAACATAAGGTTAATTGAGAGAACCTTGTATATGGTTCCCAATCATTTATTATAGTGCCATCTATGATGAAAATTGATTGAAGTTGGTTTAACGTTTTATTAAAAATTTAAATCAAAGTTAACAATTAATTTCAATAACATATTTTATAAGATTTGATTAAAAGATACTAAAATGGATTAATATATATGTTAATGTACTTATAAACTTTGACAAAGTGGGTTACACACACTCACAAAAAAAATGCGAACCCCACGTGAATTAAAAAATGCCGGCTGTGTGGTCCCAACCTTTATTGTGAGTGTAAGTAAAATTTTTTGTACAAAAGTGTGAGTACATGTACCATGATCGTACTAAAATTTTGATTTTTATCAAAATTAAATAGGTACAATAATCCAAGCAAAATTTAATTTCTTATAATTGAACATATAATCCTCACATTACATTTAAATAGAGATTGAACGCTTTTAGTCATTTGAAACTGGATAAATCTATTATAAAAACATTGATTGCCAAGCCCAACATGGCCATTTTTCTTGGTTAGATATAGAGGACCAATGTTCAATTTTGTCTATTTACTTCTAATATAAAAATTTATTGGGTAACATTTATATCACAACTTATAGATTTTTGAGCCCCATTATTTATAGATTATAATGAGATGAATAGTGCTTTTTTTTAAAAAAAATGAGTGGTTGAAATTTGTTTGATTTACGTGTAATATTATTTTATTGAAAATTACCTTATTAAAAGTAGGAGAGAGAAAAATTTAATTTAATGTAGTAAGAAATAATTGGACTCAAATCGAGGCTTATTTTGTAAATAGATGATGTGCACGAAATATGATTGAATTAAAATCTTATCCATAAAATAAAATTTTTTTGATACTTTCTTTTTGGAACAATGCGTTGTATACATGACATTGTTTTACATGGGGTTTACAGGCCCTCTTATTGTAGCTGCAGGTCAGTGGGGACCAACTTGTATTAAAAAAATAATTATTTGTGCGAGTCCCATCCTTGTGTCTATCCTGACCAACCTCTGTAATTGCCTCCTTGTACGTGAAGCACCTCCCTTCTTTTTGACACTTCATCACTAATTTATAGAAGATTGTGTAAATGATGCATAAGCATTTTCCTATTAAAAAAAAAAATGGTAAAAGGGAAATAAAGCAAGAACCTAGAAGATGAGGCTTCCAAACAAATCTTTATATCGGAGCAAATTCCAATGTCCCTAATTTTTCAACAACAAATGAAGAGTTAGAACAATTCCGTTTTGCAATTTGCAGATTTTGTTGCAAATTGATCACGAAACCCTACATCTCAATACAAACACAAACAAAAATTCACAGTAGGAACAAAAATCACAAAGCTTCAATGGATTACCCTGCTAATTACCTACAACAGGCTTACCATCCCTCATCTCAAATCCAAGGATACGATCAATCCGCACAAGCTTATTATGCTTACCATCATTACGGTAATCAACAGCAGCACGCCTATTACGGTTACCCTCAGCACCACCAACAAGGAGAACCCACCCCACCTGGGGTTACAGTGCCGCAGCCCGTAACACAACAAGCCGCAGAACAATCCCAGAATTCTTATTACTACCCACATGCTGTTGCTTTAAATATGGATCCGCAACAAGGAGGAACAGGTGGATATGGAGTTGGAGCAATGCCCACTGAGTCCCACCAACCGGTATGATTTTACTTTATATATGTACACGTTGGTGGATCTTAGTTGATGCCTGATAGGTATAAGATAATTGTAGTTTTTTAATTTTTTGTTATTTGTTCCTGGATTGATTTATTGTATGGGCTTTCTGGTTTTCTTCTCTCTAGAAATATAACGGCTTATTTTGTCACAATATTAATATTTTTCCTGCCAGTGGGCATTTGCACGTATATTACTATATCTTGTGCTAATTACTCCTTTAATTTTGCATTTTTATCACTTTCTGCTATTAATTGGATTTGGGTAAATGGAATGACCAGTGACTAGATGTGCAGGTAGTCTTAGTAAACGTAGACAGAGGAATAAATTTTGGATTAAGTTAGTGGTTTATAGATAAGAAAGAGCCACCATTGTGGTATTCACGATTTTAATTATGTAGAAAGGAGATTAGAACTGTATCATAAGATCTGGAGTAAATGGTTCTCAGTAAGAATGTGTATAATGTGGTATGAGAGAATCTGTTGAACTTGTCTTTGATACCTTCATCTACTAAAGAACGCTAATGCTATGGGTGTAGTAAGTGACTTCTTGTTACATATTTTATTAAGAGATGAAATTTTTTCTTGATTCTTATCTTACGGCCGGAAGTCACATGGTTTGTTTTATTTCAGTTTTTATACACTACCATATGCGAATCTGAATATGTGATTGCTTGCTCATTGTTTTGGAAGGAGTATGGATGTGTTCCTGCCTACATTCAATATATATATATATATAAACATTCATACTATGGTATATTATATCGATTGAAATTATAACATCTTTTTCATGAACATGATATGTCGAATATAACTGCATGAGCTTGGTATGTGTTCATTTGTTCTAAGCTTGGTCTCTTGCTTAAGGGAACAGAGCTTGAGCAACTCTGAATTGACACTTTTCTGCTCAGTTAATTATGCCTTAAATCACACAAGTTTATACTGTTTTATATGAGCTTTGGATAGGAACTTGGGAAGGTTCAAATTGAGAATGTGTTGAATCTATCTTCAAAGCTTCTATGAAACAGCATACCTGAAAAATATCATTAGCTGAGCTAAATAGCCCATTGTTTAGCTGGAAAGGTGAGCTTGAGCCTAAGATACTAAATAGTTATTGCCTTGGCTCAAACTCAAGCTAGACCAGCTTGCTAAATGCTATAGTGTCTCACCAAATCAAGCTTGGACAGCGTACTGAGATTTCTATTGCCTTATTATAGCTTTGCTTAAATCTGTTTTTATGCTTTGCAGACGTGCTTAGTCACAAGAGTCAGGCCTGGTTGAAGATTTTGCCAGTGAGTTTATGCATTTCTGCTTTCCCTTTTCCGTTGCAGGTGGTGTTATGCCTGCTCCTTAGCAATAGGTTTCAGCATATTGGTTGTCTAAGAAGCATGACACGTACATGGATGACACGCTAACACATGAATTTTCAAAAAAGTAGAACATAGAAACTCCGAGGACACGTTCATTAAATAAAAATTTTTAATTATTATTTAATTATTTTTTTATTTTTTTATATAAAAAAATATTTCTCCCATATTTTTAATCAAGAAGAATTAATTCAATTAAAATAACAATTGAAGTGTAGATCCAAAAGCATCCTCCCATTGAAGCGAATTGTCCATTTCAAGTCCATTTGCCCAGAACAGACCGAGAGCTTTTTGGTCCATTTTCCCCTTACCAAACCCAACTAACTCAATGGATGAATAATTTGAAATCCATTTGACCTTTCCTACCTCTGCATACATCCACAAAATTTTCAATTTCCCTGAAGCCACGCTCCCTCCCCTTCTTTCCATCTTCCTCAAGTTCCTCTTTTCTGTCACTCTTACTCTCACCTATTGACATTGAAAAGTATGGTTCGAGAGGTGTTTCATAGTCATGCTTGTTTTAGGCTTTCAAATGGTTCAACCATGGTGAATCTGCCATCTCCACCTTCTTCCTTCGTTTGGGCATTTAGACTTTCTCCTTTTGGAAATTCTTGCTTCGATTATGGCCTGATTTTATTTGTTCCTTCTCTAATTTAAGTTCTCGTGTCAGGATGTGTCGCTGCTGTGTTGCTGATTGAAAAACAAAAATATAAAAGGACACATCACATGGTCTATGAGAATATGTCGCATGTGTGCTGGTTTGTCCGATATGTGTCCAACACTGACACTTGCGCATTCACAACGTGTCCGTGCTTCTTAGTTGGTTTTGCTATTTCATGAGTTTTTAAGAAGATAATGTCAACTTGGCCAGTGAACCTCTTAAAGCAGCCACATTGAGGCTAGGATGACTTGTACATCTAAATAGTAGTTGCTTTATGTCTATATGGTAATTGCTTTAGAGTTCAGTTGGCCATGTTGGTATACAGGCTCTAATGCTTTATAATTCCTCAAATCACTTCTTTTGCATTAACACCGTTGATCTGCAGCTCATGAGTAGAGGACATTGAGCTACTTCTTTGTTTCTTGGAGCCTAGCTGTATGGCCTCGTTAGGTCACATTACATAGTGTTGTGTGCAGTTGAATGTTGAATAGGCACCCAAACTCTCTTCTTGTAGATGATCTCTAAGATGAATCTGGTAAGAGCTTTGAAGTAAATGATGTGCTGCCTTTTATGGGTTTTTTTTTGTTTTTTTTTGGTTGGTGGTATGGAAGACGGGCATTGAGCCTTATGCGGATTATTATATGGAGATTTCTTGTGAAGTATTATACCTTCCTTGCTAAGGGAGATGGATGCTTGAAAAATTCTTGCTGGCAATTATATGTGGGTCAATCATTCTGCAATTGGCTGTGAGTTGAACTGGTTTGGACCAAAAGATTGTAACATGAGTATATAGTGTCTTTATATATACTACAAGAATTAAAACTGTGCATTTTATCAACTAGGAATATCATCTTTCTAAAAAGGATGGGCTCTTGCCTCCTTGCCCATTAAAAAAAGCTATTGATCTGCTTCACAACCTCATATCTTGGAGATTAATTGATGAAAGGATGTTAACGCAACCAATACATTGATAAAGTGGAAAAAAAAATGCCCATATAAAATTATTTTTCCTTAAAAGGTTACATGTGTATGCATGCCCTAATAGGAAGAATCGAGAGGATTTTTGAATGAAGATATTCAACTAATGAAATCTAATTTATTTTTGAAGTAGTTGAATTGTTTATATAGTCAATATTTGTATAATTGCAATGACCTAGCTTTCTTTTGCATTTGATTAGCACATTGTGGATTAAGAATATTCATGGCAAGAAAACTGGTAGAAAGTAGTATTAAGCTCTTAAGAAATTACCCAGTAGTCATTAGCACTCTAGAAATTCACCTTGAAATCTGTCATTAGTGGGACTCGACAGTCAATATCTTCACGTCTGGTACACTGCTCAACTCTTAAAAGGGCCACGTAATATATTTATGCTTCCCAGGCTCAGATCTCAGAATTGAACTTGTCATTCAGTAACTTGTTTCATATTATAAAACAGTGTTTTTCTCTATTTCTTATTACAGCTTTAACCATTTCGTACCTCAATGTTTATCTATTGTTAGAAAGCACATGTTCGGCCACTATTTATAAATGGTCAAACAATTTCTTATCCATGCATTTTGTGGGACCACAACTACTACCCACTTATCCAACCACTCATTAGGGGTGTAATAATGGGCGCTTCGCTTCAAACCAGCCCGTAAAAATGTGCCTAATCCAGGGACCAGCATGCGCCCCCAACTGTTCCAAACTTCCGAACATAATGTTAATATCTTCTGAAGACGTAAAATTAACCATCTATCCTCTCTATCCAATTGGTGCATTATTTGAAGCTATAATTTTGTGCCTTTTTCTTGTCCACGAGTCTCTCTCACTCTGCATGTCTTCCTTGAGTCCTCTCTCTACATGTCTGTACATATATATGTTTCATTACATTTAAGCATATGGTTATGTCAATAGATCACTTATTGGATGTTAGATTCTGATTCGTATTTTTATTTTGTAGTCTAGCCAGTTGCTCAGTTAAATCCATTTTTCAGTTCTCATGATGTCATTTGTTTTTTGTTATGGGAACTGAAATTCCGAATCTGTTTTCCTGTTATTTAATTGAGTAACATTACCTTCTCATGCTATTAGTTATTGATTTGGTTTTGCTCGTCTGCTTGCTTGTTTGGAACAGCCGAAGCTACCGATTTTATTTGTAAACACTAACCATACAATCTGAAGGCGAGACTAACAACATGACGCCTCCCGGAGCATATCTTAGTAGTGCAAATGACAAGGGTGTGGCATACTCGATCTTGCTGACAATCATAATGTGAGGATTCGATTCCTAAAATATGGATTGAAACTCTTTATGGTTATCAGTGTACGGACAACTCTTGTTCTCTCACATGCTAGGACACATCACGCGATTAAACTCTTTCACAATTCTCCAGAGATAGGACGGTGGAGACCTTAAGGTTGGAATTCAACCTTTTAACAACATGCCGGGCCATTATCCAAAGTTGTCAGAATATTTTCATGCACTTACGGCCAAAAACTTAAAAAGACTTTAATTTTACCAACAAAAGTTGGTCAAATATTTATTCCATTTTCAAACTGCAATGATGCTAGAAATCATTATTTACTTGTATTCTTTAAAATCTGTCATTTCACACTTTCTACCTAAAATTGATTTCAGACCGCATTTATTCTTGTTGGATAGGAGGTCTATTAATATTTCATCTAATTTTAAAATAACTAAACTACCCTTTATCAGAGCAGTTTTCTCTGACAATTATCTGATTTTTCCCTCTAATAATATTTACGCTGAATATTGATAACTGAGAGATAGTTGAGATTACGGAAGATTTGAAGGTAAGAAATGGGTTTTTTGAAGTTTATTTATGAATTTGTTTGTGTCTATGACAACAAGGAAAAACAATAGAACTTGTAAATATAAACGTAGAGTTTCCATCAACTAGATGTCTAGATCCGATTATTGTAAGAGTCGACCATGTCACGAAAAAATATGTTATGATAAGGTTAGAGCGGGTCGAATGGACAATTTATGGATTAGTCCAGATTTCTTCCCAAGGGCACATAGGTCTTTTCATGACGCTTTAATGAGTTGGGTGGTGGCCCATGTGAGCTGGGTCACCTTACCTAGCCGTTACACCTATCTACCATTTGAAAAAACACATAACAAAATCTTTTAAAAATGGAAATGACCGTTAAGCATTTAATTCCCTATTCAAAAATACCTCCTGCTACATCTGCCTCTATAATCAAGATTTTTTGGAAGAAGTAGCTGATACATTTCTCTGAATGGCGACTGAATCCGTGTTCAGGGACGAAAAAATGTCGATCGACCAAGCACTCGGGTACCCAGAATCCTATGCTAAGCTCTGCCAAGACCGGAGTTTCAGTCCCTTCAGCCATGGCCCTCCTTTCACTTTCACTCCCTATTCTCTCAAACAGCAAGAGGTAACAATCTATGGGATTTAGACTTACTTTTTGTTTTGGAGTCATAAGTGATTTTTAGACATAATTTACATTTAATTCAACCAAAAATTAAAAAAAAAAAAGTACTATTCTAGGCTTTGGTTGGTTTTTAAACTTTAGAATTTAAGGATGCATCTGAGTGTAATCTTAAATTTCAGGTTTTAAAGAGCAGTTTCTTTTGCCTTTTAGAAATGTATTGTATAAGAATTGCTAAATAAGTAATTCAATAAGTTACTTATTTTAATGTTAGAGTAGCATTTACTGCCAAACCAGATAACCAGTTTTCACTTAAAGAAGAAAATATAATAATGAACCAAACGGAGTTGTAATAAAAAGATTCATAAACCAAATTTAAGAATGAACAATGTTAAGTAGTACGTATTATTAAATTTCTTAAATTCTGGTGTTACTATTTTTTATTTTTTTTCAAAACTTTTATCTCCTCCCCTGTTCCCACCCTTTGTTGTGACAGGATTCAAGAGCAAAGGAATTGGATGAGATGTTCCCAATCATTGATCCAAAAGCAAAACCCACAACAAAGCCCAAGATTTTTCAGAGTCTTCTGTGGAAAAATCTTAATCATCTTGGGTAAACAAATTCCATTTTGCTACATTACTCTTTGACAATAATTTGTAAATACAGAAAAATTAAGGTTTTTTGACACTTGCTTATAATTTGAAATTCCAGGAATGCTGGTTTTGATCCAGAAACATTTCGAGTAGATCCATATGGAAATGTTCTATTCTATCATGCAGACTCAGCATCACCTCTTGCATGGGATATTGACCATTGGTTCCCTTGCTCAAGTAATTACTACTTAGTTGTCTATGCTTATAAGTGATTTTTTACATGCAGTATTAGATATTAAAAATTCTAACTTATTTTATTTCTTGATGTCTTCCAGTACTATCCAATTGTGACTTGTTCCGTATGTAATACTGGACATTTCAGTGAATAATTTAACTTTTTTTTCTCTAATATTGTCCAATCCTCATTATCGAACATGCCAACAAGGTATATGAAAGAGTTTTAACTTGTGGACTTCAACTGAAAAACTTACAGGAGGGGGTTTAACTGTTCCAAGCAATCTAAGAATATTGCAATGGCAAGTGTGCAAGAGAAAACATAATAAACTAGAATATCTTATACCATGGTGGGATTTCCAGTTGGGCATTTCAATTAATCAGTTCATGTCCATCTTTGCTTCATCAAATTCAGATTTCAGGTTGGTAGTTTTCAACTTTAGATGCAAATACCAAGTACTATTGATGATGTTGATGATGATGATTCATGTGTATGTATATTTTGTATGTATAGGCACAGGGCATTTTCATGGTTATTTTCTGAGGGTGAAAGTGAAGAACTGAATGCTTCACAGACAGTTGATTCACACTGTTTCCCTCAACATTTCATGGAATCGAAAGAAAAGCTAGGTTTGGCACCGGCTGCTGTTGTACTATCTCGAAGGGGATCTTACGATGCTCCATGGAAATCAAATGATCTGAACAAAAGACCACGATCAAGTACCCCGATCATAGGTTAGTAGAGTGAACAAAAAAACTTACCTAATCCGTTTGGGAATATAGCAAAATATATTGTTTGGTACACAATATAGAATGGACTACAATTTTATATTCTTTTACTTTCTTTGCGTAGTCTACTCTTATCCAATCTCCCTATCAACATGCTATAATTGCTTCACATTTTCACTTGATAATGGCAGCTGCAAGGAAATTGAAACCTCTTCTGAAAGAAAATGAAGATCCGAATATGGTGAGCAACCCGTATCAGGCCATTGTTATGGCCAGAGATTCATTGAAACAGAGAGAAGAAACAGTAAAGATGCAAGCAGAAATAAGGAAATTAGATAATGAAGTCAATGAATTGCAACAGAAGTCGGAGGAGAAAGTTACCATCCAAGACCTGGAATTAACACTGATAAAGAGAAGAAGACGGGCTGAAAAGTGTCGAAGGCTAGCTGAGGCACAATCTTCCTACAGAGCAATGTTAGAGAAGATGATTCGAGATGCAATGCACCAGTAAGATCATTTTGTAACAAACATTTAAGTTTAGTATCTTGAAACAAAATATAATTTGAGCGCCAACTTGGAATAAAATAGAGTTTAATAACCGAGAAATTTCGCTTTATTATTTAGTGACCAATAGTATTTCTAACCCCATTATTTGAATTTTTTCTCCTTCAAGGAGTATTTGAATGAAATTTTTATCAAAATGAAATTTGAATTGTTTTCTTCTCGCAGGAGTGTTGTCTATAAAGAACAAGTGAGGCTGAATCAAGCAGCAGCTAGTGCTCTTTTAGCTAGACTTGAAGCTCAGAAAGCAATTTGCGACTCTGCTGAAAGAGAACTACAAAGGAAATATAAACAAAGAGACGAGCTAGAGAAGCAGATAAGACCCGAATGGGAACAGGCAAGGAAGAGATCAAGAATGGATGATACCCTCGAAGAAGAGAAGGACAATAGGCTTGCTCTGTATTCGCCAGATAACAAGGCAAAAATGCAACTACAGATTGAGATGAATGATTCCTCGGCCCCTTTGCACAAGGAACTGTGGAAATTCTTGGAGGAAGAACAAAAATCTTTGGATGCAAGTGTACTAATGATTAAAGAACGAGAAGAAGATGATGAAGAAGAAGTCGACAAGGAATGCAGTGCAATCAGTGACAAAATTAGCAAAAAGAAGCATGAGAAAGGTAACAAAACCATGGTTGTGGAAGAAGATGGTAATCCAGTTGAAGAAATGCTAGAAAAGTTGGATAGACGACAAGGGGGGACAGTATGCAACATTCAACTCCCTATTTATTATGAACCGGATGAAGAGAAGGACGAAGAGAGCAGAAAACAACAAGGGAAAGGAAATATAGAGAAGTGGCTTCAGTTGCTGTTGGAAAATACGCTAGAAGATGATGTCTTAAATCCTAAAAATGTCAATGAGAATGAAACTGATGAATTAATTCGGAAGCTGGATCTCATGTCTGCAGAGAAGGAGACTATGGAACAGTCGGATCAAGAAGATGATGTCTTAAATCCTAAAATTGCCAATGACAATGAAACTGAAGAGCTAATCCGGAGGCTGGATCTCTCATCTCCAGAGAGGGAGATCTTAGATTCTAAAGCCAAGGAACCACAACCTAAAGAGAGTAAGGAACAGTTGGACAAGATAAAGAGGATGGAAGCTAGGAAGTCGCTATCAAACAACGAAAAAGAGGATAGGAAAATGAATGCAATTGCTAATGAGACCAATAAAAACACTCCCTTAAAGAACCCTCCTTACAGACTCGAACCACAGAGAAGAAGCTACACGAATGAATCAGATTCGACTGGTACAGGAGTTGGACAACCTGGTAGCTGTGAAAAGAATGCAAGAACAGGAAAAAGTGGAAAGGGAAGGGACCTTTCGAGGTCAGAGAGTGCCAGGGCATTTCGGCGAATCCCATCTTCTCCATCTCTGATATTGGGGAGCATGAAAAAGAAAGTGGATTGCATGAGGAAAAAGCCTTTGGTACTTGATGACAATGATGTCGATGATGTTCACGTAGCCCGTAACAGCTTCATTAAATCATCAATCAAGACAATAAAGAGAGCAGTGAAGATTTAGGTGTATAATTTATATGGTGTGATTGCTATAGTATTATTTGTTGAGAGTGTCTGGCTATATAACTTGTGT